TTTGGGCTATGATCTGTTCACAGTTATCATTTACAAAAGTCGAGGCGAAGCAAATTTCAAAGCCTTCCAAATACGGTGTGTCCTCAACTATATGCTGTGTCTGCCTAACTATCACCGTCGAGACTCCTCTAAGCCTCACAAAATTAAACTGACTAAATAACTGATGCCGGTAAACCAGAAGAGCTGAAGCAACATATTTTTAGGACGCTGGTTCCTCAGTTCATAATGCAAACACGAAACAGTGGAGGTCAAGTTGACGTCTTAAAAAAAAAGTCAGAGCATCCATTTGACAGCAGTAAGCCCCTCAGGAACATTTAGCAGACTCTGTGGTGGTGGTGCACAGTTCTGCCGAGCAGCGACACCTGCACAAATAGAGTGCCACCTTCATGGAAGAATCATCAGAAGAAAAACTTTCCACTATCCACAACCCAAAATTCTCCATCCAGACTTCTGCAAATAAAAGTCTAAACAAACCTGATGCATTCTGAAAAACAGTCCTGTAGACTGATGATGGTAAAATGAAATTTCAGAGGGCGTGCAATGAACGCAAATGTGTTTTGAGGGAAAAGGGGTGCGGAAATGTATAAAAGCAACACCTTTTCAAATCCCGAGGACAGGGCTGCATGGATCGTGCAGTCAGTAGCATGGAATGGAAGGATTAAATTAATCCACAGCAAATCCTGGAGGCAAACATCACAATGCATGTAAAAGCTGAATAGAATGGCTTCTAAAACAACATACAGATCCTAAACATACCTTAAAATAAAGTAAATGACTTTCTCAAGAAGTATAAGCTAAAGTTTCTGACATGATCCTCAAAATCCCAAAGAAACTGTGCATGAAATATTTTAATTGTGATCATTTTTAACTTCAGTTCCTTTGTAAACCGGGTCCATTTGAGAGTACTACCACATGGAGTCTCCAGAGCTGGATCTGTACTCTAAAGCAAATGCTTGCTCTTTCTTTAATCCATTACTTTCAGCTGAATATTTCAGCCATTTGGATCTAAAGTTTAGCTTTCCTTTTCATCTGCATGTTTATCAACTGATTTATCTGCTTGATCAGTGTTTTTGTGCACTTTTACTGCACTCTAATTGTGTGGTTCAGGTGTTATGATGGCCTCAGTCTACAGACCCAGACATTTACACACATACGCCGAATGTGCGAGCTTGCTTACAGTCCAGCAGGACACACACAATCGCCACAGCTGGGTGCTTTTTTCCGTCACATAGCAGCTGAAACAACAATTGTTCTCACAGCGTAAGACCATTGTGTGTGTGCACTGTCTCAAACGCTTCAACAGTCTGTCTCCTTGTCTCTCACTCACCCTGCAAATCTCGAGGGATGCCCAGTTTGACGTAAAGAGCAAAAGTTTCTAAAACGTTTCACTGCTTTTGCACTTGTGCTTTTCTTTCTCACTGTGTGGTGCTTTGGCCAGTGTTTCAGTTTAAGCTACTGATACCAACACAAACACGGAGAGCAGTCTGAGATTTTACTGAAATGAGCTGCTGTAACAATACAATTAGGCCACAGCCTGTTTCCATCACAGGGGAAATCCTGCTGCCTGGTTGGCCACTGATAGGAGTGAGATGAGAGAAAGAGTGAGAGAGGAGGATGAGAATGATAAGAGAAAAGCAAAGTGTGGGGGGATACGTGAGGAGGACATCTGTGATCCAGTCCAGAGGGAAAACAGCGCAGAGGTACCGTAAGAATGTAGGGGGTGAAACATACGAATGAAAGGCCGGAGAGGAAAAGGTTATGATAAAATACACAAATGTTGAGCAAGCAGCAAGGGTTAGTTAACCAGAGGAAAGACGAGGCAACTTAGAAGGCACAATTGTACCACTTCGGGACAGGATGCAGCTGAGCAGGAACAAAGCACTAAGAAAGACAAAAAAAAAAACCAACAAAAAAAAACATGTTTGTGTGACAGTGTTGATTCTTTATCTTGAAAATAAACCCCAGAAGCAGCCAGGAAAGTGTCTCTGGCCTTTGTGTTGCATATAAAACAAAGTGTTTCTGTAAAATCTGTCCTATAAATAAACATCTGTTTTTGTTTTCACATCTGGATTAAATATTACGATGACATCCTATTTTTTTTTCACTTAAAAATGTTGATGACCTCTGTTTTGTTTTGCTTCTTTTTCTTTTTTAAATTTACTTATTAACATATTCATGTATTCTTTTAGTGAGCATGAGGAAAATCATATAAGAAACTGTGGATGTTAATCTTTAAATATGCTCAACAATGACTGCAAAAGTGCATGTAAAAATTACAGGTCAAACATTATATATTTTTTATGGTTACCATTATGGCTACTTGATGTTTGCATCCACTGCTGCCTAAATGTCCAGGTCCGGGAACAGCCAACTACATGATTTCTTACTCTTATGGTAAATGTATGGGTACTTATCCCATACGTTCCTGCACAGAAAATCACTTTGGCAAACTACCATGCTGTGGTTACCCCTTTATAACTTTTTATGCATGGCAACCAGGGAAGAAAAGCAGGCCCAATTCATTCATCCAGGCTTCAGTCATATTGAAGCATTTAAGGGTTCTGTATTAAACACCATTTGAAAGTATATAAAACAGAATTCACCAAGGCCTGACTTTTGCCATGGGATTTGACTCTTAAAAGCACTTTAATTTAAATGAGATAATAACTTTAAATGACATCATATGTTTTGCCTTAACTTAATTCGTCTATTCAGGACAATGGGTGAAGCCATACACATGGATCCCTGCTGTCTGGTGGCGACCACAAGAACACTGATTTCTTTTGTGTGTGTGTGTGCTTTAATTTAAATGAAAAGAAGTCATGAATAGATTAATGAGCAAAGATGGATAAATATTTCAGAATGTGCTGGTTGAACATCGTAAGCAGGCATCTAAAGAACTCGTACATATTCTGCTTCCTCTTATTTTGTTACTAGAGTGATTGTTATGAAACTACAAAACAGTGAATGAAACTGACAGAACGTAACATAATAGGAAACACTGCATAAATTTACTTTGCAAAACTCATCTTAAGCGTTTCCTAATGTGTCCCGTCGCCTTAAAGAAAAGCAATTTGTCTCATAACTGAAACAAAATAAGATCTGTTAAGCCAACCAGTTAGATCAGATTATATTTGACTTTATTAATAGCCCGAGTTTGACACATACAACAGTACATAAAGACAACATTAGCAGCCATAAAAAGTCAGACGGTGGTGGTTTTTTATGATCCAGTTCAGCCTCCTTAGGTGCCTCTCTGAGCCAGCTAGCGCCAGGGGACTGATTTACTTGTCACACAAGGGGGACATATTTAGACTGGATGTGCTGGAGAGAGTGTGCAGTAAAGCTGGCAGGGCAGTGGATGACCCAGACAGTGGGAGTGTGGGGGAGACACATAAGACACACCAGTTAACCTCCTGCCATTAAACCAGCTTGATTTCTGACCAAGGGCCATGGGACAATGGAGTGTACTGCACTAATTACACACCCTGACACAGATAATAGGACATATACTTGCTCTTTATGAGAACAAACAGACGTCTGTAGATCTCTTTAACAACTTGCAGTTTTAGCAGAAATAAAAGGTCTTAAATATGGCTTTGCAGTGTGCCGTCTTTGCAGAAGCAAGAGACTTGATTAAAACATGTCTCTTGATGACTGAATCAACAGACAGTTGTCTTGAAATGTCAGACTACTGGTTGATGCCAATCCACCCAGAATGTGCAGTGCTAGGTGGATTGTGACTAAATATGTCTGTGTTTATATTAACCTTTCTTAGGTGTCAAATTTTAACTCCCTCAGCATTTACCGTACACAGTACAGTCACAAGGAAATGCAGGGTGTGTCTATGTGCTAGGTAAGACAAATTATATGGGACCACCAACCCAAGACCACCATAATATTCCGAGACCAATAAGTAAAACGTCACAAAGACTTTCCATCGCAAGTCTGCATATACATGGAAAAATAAGCTGTAATTTGTTCATACAAAAAGGGTTTCGGTGATTTCATCTGTAAGTTTTCAGAATTATCCATGTTTTACTTAAACAAAAACAAAAGAAATGAGGTTAATTACAAAGAAACCTGCAATAAAAAGAGTTCAATTTGTAAAAAATAAAATAAAATAAAAATAATAATAATAATCTATATATAACACTTTAAAGCCACCCTATTTTATTATTTTTTTAACAATTTATTTACTTTTATAAAGTAACATAGATAAAATTAAATAAAACTCTACAAACTGATAAAAACAAGAAACAAATACAGGCCTGCTACAAAATATTATGAGTCAGGTGTAACTTTGATTTTTTTGTCTCAAATTCAGCAATATATTCTTTATCATTATTAGTAAACCAGAGCTATTACTGAGTGCATACACCTTTCTTACCCTATATAAAAAGACAAGTATTTAATTTCAAGCAGTTTGAGTGTTGAAGGAAAATATCACTTCTCCACATAGTATCATCTATTTTAAAGTCATAGAAACTTTGAAAAGTTTAGCCTGATGAAATTCATCATATATTATGATTTATTTTTACTTTCGCGTGGTTCTAAACGACTAAATGAAAAGCTTCCATGTGTGCAAAAAACTTTAAGCAAATAAAAAAAGGCATAAATAAAAGTAACAGTAAAAGTTAGCAGATGAGTATTTGGGCTGGTTCACAACAAAATCATCGTAATAAGAGAGACTGAGGTCTGGACGCGCTGCTCTGATCGCTGCCTGTCCCGCCACTGACAGTAAAGCGGGTAACCAAATATTCAAAAACAATACGTCATCCCACAATGCAGCGCGCTTACGTTCTCCTTTACAGCATTACCTCATCCCACAATCCACCGCGAGATTAAGAATCTTCTGGGTGGTGGTCGTCTAGGCAACGCGCCTTATCGGAGGACTCAGCCCCGCCTCAGAGACACGCCCCTCAGCCAATGGGAGAGCCCCGTCATGACATCATGGTTATTTTTAGAGAGGCAGCGGCAGCAGATAAGGTTTGCCTCCACGCTGGACCGCTCAGAGTATACACACACGCAAGCGGTGAGCACACCGGAGACGCTCGGTGGCTGACAGGAAAAGTTAGAGCCGCGAGGCGCTTTTCATTCACGGACTCAATATAAGTCTGGATACTTTGACAAAAGCTTTGTGAACAATTTCCACTCAACATAGAACAACCGACCATCGCTTGGTGAAAGAAGTAAGTTCTGATTCCTGTGTCGAGAAAAGTGCGCTCTCAAAGTTTGGAAGTTTTTACGCACAGAGAGGACGTTTGGAAACCAGTGTTTTCCTCCTCGGTAACCAGGAAGAAGAGAAGGGGGGACGGAAAGCTGTTTTTGTAGAAGACTGTGTAGCTACATTCGGTTTTTGTTTTATTTTTTCTTCTATGTATACCAAGATGGAAACTACTTTCTATGACGACTCACTCAACGCTTTCTCCCAGCACGACAACGCCGGCTACGGATACAGCAACCCCAAAGCGCTGAAACACAACATGACACTGAACCTCACCGACCCGCCGAGCGCTCTGAAACCTCACCTCCGCGCCAAAGCTGGCGACATCCTCACCTCCCCCGACGTGGGTTTGCTGAAGCTGGCCTCTCCGGAGCTGGAGAGGCTGATCATCCAGTCCAGCAACGGACTCATCACCACCACGCCGACCCCGACCCAGTTCCTGTGCCCCAAGAATGTCACTGACGAGCAGGAGGGCTTCGCGGAGGGGTTTGTGCGCGCCCTGGCTGAGCTCCACCACCAGAACATGCCGGGCACAACAAACGTGAGTGTCACCTCGACTCCACCGGCAACTGTCAACACTGCGCTGCCGCCTGTTTCATCTGTTGCCGGTGCCACCGTATACAACAACAATGCTGCCATGCGCTCTGAGTCGCCGGTTTATGAGGACTTGAACACTTTCAACCCGGCCATCAGTACCGTGTCGGCACCAAACTACACCACCTCAGCCCCCACTATGTCCTTCTCTGCTGCCCCGCCTCAGCTTCCCATCTACGGCCAGCCTTCCCCTGCCCAGCTCCCCCGGCTCACTGCGCTCAAAGAGGAGCCCCAAACCGTGCCCGAGATGCCAGGGGAGACCCCTCCTCTTTCTCCAATCGATATGGAGAGTCAGGAGCGCATCAAGGCTGAGAGAAAGCGGATGAGAAACCGCATCGCTGCCTCCAAATGCCGGAAGAGGAAGCTGGAGCGGATCTCAAGGCTGGAGGAGAAAGTGAAGACCCTAAAGTCACAGAACTCCGAGCTCGCATCCACCGCCAACATGTTGCGCGAGCAGGTGGCCCAGCTGAAGCAGAAGGTGATGAACCACGTAAACAGCGGGTGCCAGCTTATGTTAACGCAGCAGCTCCAGACCTTCTGAGGTGGTGTCAGCGACAGAGGAGAGAGAGAAAAGACTGTAGTTGAAAGAATAGGACGCTTCCTGTGGTAGTGAGTGTCTGCGACTCCCGAAATCGTTCCGGTATTTGGGATGATGTGGCGCGACACTGGCGGGACCGGGGACGGTACCAAACTGAGTGCCACGCGCTCCCCAGTGGCGCGTCCTAGAGATGGGCTCAGGACTGTGACAATAGCCATGAACCAGAAGGGACATGGCAACAGGCAGAAACCCCTTCTGTTTCTGTGTCGTGCTGTTTTTCTTTACAGAACTGGACAGGACTGACGTTTTCTTGATTTACACCGAGCCCTGCATGGACTTCATCATGACCATCAATGGAAAAACTCAGTATTAGAGGATTTTTTTTTTTTTAAATCACACGCAATACAGACTTTTCTTGCTGTAGCCATAATTAATGGCCTCACTTTTTAGGCGTGTTGGTCAACTCTAAACGGCTGAAAAGTTGCAACAAATGCTGCCTGACTCATGAGTTAAAGTACAATGTACATTTTTTTCTTAATTGTAAGAAATTAAGTTAGAAAAGCTTCAAGATTTACTTGTTTTTTTCTAAAGCTGTTAATGGGGTTTCACTCATTGTTATATGTATATAAGATCAACTTGGAGTACTTATGTTTACCATTTGTAATAAGAATACTGTATAATTTTTTATGTTTGTTTTCTGAGCACTTAAGAAATTAATCAATATTTAAGAAAATAAACCAGATAAAATGAAGCAACATCGCCTCTGTGTACTTGTAAGAGTGTGACATAAAAAGTGGGTGTGCCACGAAGAAGTCAAACAATAAAACATGTTGCAACATGTTGTAAGAGCTGCTAGTGCTGAGTACCTCAAGCTAAATTCCATTAGTACTGGTATTGATTGAAGCTGAGTGATTGTGTTTCAGCTGGCAGGCCGGGCTCACTTACTCCTGATGGAGGCCAGTTCTGCAAATTGGGGTTGTAGAGTTTGCGATCTCCACTTTTGTGTCTCAGCTCACACAGGCTCAGAAGAAGAAAAGTGTAACTGCCCTATAAAGTCTCCCATTGCTTTGAGCAATAAGTAACATTTTCACATCATGTAACACTCAGTCACAATAGGCTAAGGTGTGCAACCCTTAATTAAGAAATCTGGAACTGATTTGATTAATACAACATCTCCCTTGCTATTTCATCATTCAGTTATTCACCATTGCTCTGTCCTTTTGTAAGTATTCAAAAAGGTTTCAGCATGTCAAAGAAAAAAAAGAAGTGTTAGGTTCTGAAGTGCAAATCTCTGTATGGGATAAATTAATACAATAAACTGTGGCTTGGTGGGATTATGTATATATATGGTGAGTCTTTTTTTTTAATCACATAGTCATCTTTCAGTCAGTACCAGCTAAAAGAACAAACAATAACCCAAACAAAGGCTTTGTGGTGATGGCTTTAACCACAAGAAAAAAGAAAATACAAGCCTGGAGCTCAGTATCTCAAAGTGCTGAATATTCTTTAACTTATTTACGGTACAGCAATGTGGGCCTATAAATATGTTATGAGCACTTTTGAAATAAATTGGGATTTTCTTTTTTTTGGGGGGGGGGGGGGGGGGGGGGTGTCAAATTTTTCACTTATAAAAAAACAGGCGTAAATTTTTTTTCTTGATGTCTTCACTAAACCCAGCAATTAAAGTGAGTCTCGTTCATGCTTACGCAGCAGGTGCAGCTCAGGCGTGGCCTACAGCAGATAAAAGGAGTGGGCTTTCAAATACTGCTGGACATCAGCACGTGTGCTGCTCTTAATGAAACACTGGAGGGCGACATACATTGGGGTGGATTACCGGTGCTCGAAATCTCCACAGATCTGTTGCAATTTATATCGGGTTATCAGATATTAATTTTTGTGGAAATTAATAGAGACTGTCATATAGAGTGTAAATAAAACAGAACGGGTTGTTGACTGAAAACCTAACGAAGTCTCTGACACACTGCGATGCTAAGGCTGACAGAATATTAAATGTTCTCTTTCTTTTCAATCTTTATATTTTCCGATTTTATTTTTTGTTTGCTTTTTAATTCTTTTATATACAAACAAACATCAAATATCTTTATAACACAACCTGTTTGAACACGTCAAATAAGGGAATTCAGGTGTTGTCTTTGTTTTAATTGTTTGTATTATTTTTCCTTAATAGAGACAATCTCTGTGGGAGACATATCCAAATAGACACTTTTCTCCCTTTCCCTTTAATTATTCCTTCAGGAATCCCGATTTCTCTACAAATCTGCTCTGATTTCTCAAACTTGGGGCATTGTGACATCATTCCGGAAAGCAGTGCCCTCCCCTGCCATATAAGGAGAGGGAACGCTCGGAAGACCCACGTCAGGACCGAGGAGGCGTTTATTACGGGAAGTGAATCGACTGACTACATAATCTCCTCTTTGCATAATACGATGTGTCCTGAGACGTAATCTAAAGAATAGACCGGACTTAATTAAACAGGCAAATCCATCAAATGACTCCAAGGGCGACTAAAAGCAGACGTCTAGATGTTAAATATCAGGAGATCATAATAAAAACAAACGTTCTTTAACAAAATCCGCATTCTGTAGAATAGTTCACTAACAGCTCACATAAATGATAATAGGAACAATAGAACAGAAATAATATGTTGATCGATCTAGTTGCTTGGTATCCAGGCTATTTTATACCTAAACTTCCCCACATTCAAAGGGGGCATATGTATATTTTTACTAAAGAAGTTTACATGTATTTGAAAGTTAAAGTTACTTCGCAAATGTTTGCATTATAGTACAGGCTTCAGCCACTCCCTTAGTCACACTATAGAGTCTTTAATTTACGCATCTAATCTATAAAATAAAATGGATTGTTATACAAAAACATGCTGCTTCATGCTAATAAATACTGTTAGACTGTCTCCATGAGACTTTATGCAGCAGCATTCTGCTGCATAAAGTCTAACTGTACTTGTATTGGGGGAGTGTCTTTCAGGGTATAAAACTTCTGCTAATTTTACTCATAAATATTATTAATAGCTCTATATCTCTTCATCAAATGATAAAAGGAAATCAAAAGTTGTCATTATTATATATCAAACCGATTTTGACATTTAGGCCAAGAGTGATTCAGACATAAGGGAGAATCTTTCTTCTCCCCCACACACCATTATCTATTTTATCGCTTTCACAAACATGCAAAACAATGTTATTTTTACACAGCTATTATTCTTGTCACCTCTTACTAATACAATACTAATACAATAATTTCACAGTGATTGAGGATTGAAGTGCTATTACTAGATAAAACAATTAACTGCATCTAATGGAAACTTGACCGCGTAATTGCACAAAGGTCAGGTTGAGCCGGCTGAATCTGTACAGTGAAAGGCTTCTGTCTGTTGTAGTTGCTATGGGCGGGGTATTTTACTAAGCAATATGGTACAAAATACACAAACAGAAATCAGAACAACAAATTCTAACAACTGTGGCGCATGAAGGCTGAAGGAACATTTTTTTATTTTCCTGCAAATTTAAAATGTGGAATAATGTCAAAGGTTTTGAAAGCCATGCAGCATCAAATTCTAAGAACCCTTATGCCGTGGATGTGATCCGGACAAAGAGAAGGGATTTGGTTTATGGTATCTCACATACTGAGGATCTCCTGAATCTTTTGGTTGCAGAGGGGGTTATGACAACAGCAAGGAGATCTATTGTTTTGTCCATCAGGACCCATAAAGATCAGAACTCCAGGGTCCTGGACATCCTGGAGGCCAGAGGTGAACGAGCATGTCGGAAATTCTTCCATCCGTGTCTTATGCTGGCAGAACCTGAACTATACCAGCGAATCAAGACCTATGTAAGGAGTATGAACGAGCAAGTTCAAGATAACAGGAGACAGCTGATTGGGTATTTGCTGGAGAGAGATTGTGAATGGGGGGGAAAATTAACAGATCAAACTGGAACCCAGAGAACTTATACTAAAAGGATTAAAAAAGGATCTAGTGTTACAAAGAAAGGAAGTGGTACCATAGTACTTGCAACATCAGAGCATACACCAGCTCAAAGTAAACCAGAAAGCCTCATTTACATGGCTGCTAGAAAAGGGGATCTCTTATTACTTGAGGAGCTGTTAAAAGACAGTGATATCAACACTGTCAATTCTTCCAAAGAAACTCTATTACATGTAGCTGCAGAAAATGGGCATTTATCCATCGCTGAGCTCTTGATTCAAAAAGGGGCTAGATTGGACCTCCAGAATGACGCTGGCCACACAGCTCTTCACAGAGCAGCCAGCAGAGGGCACACAGAGCTCATGAAGACCCTAGTGAAGGCTGGGGCCCCTATACATACTCTGGATTTGAAAGGCAAAACTCCCATTCACCTGGCAGCAGAAAATAGGCATCTGAAATCTGTAAAACTCCTGGTGGAGGAGGAAGCCAGGCAGTCTGAAAGTCACAGACAGAATATGTTTCTGCACATGGCTGCCATGGAAGATGATTGGAGGTTGGCTGAGTTGCTGTTGCAGAGCGGGGCCACTGTTGATGCCTTAAACAGCCATAACAAAGCAGCTCTGTTTTATGCAGTCAAGGAGAGCAATGAGAAAACAATGACTGTCCTTCTCAATGCAGGGGCTAAAGCTGACTATGATGTCATATATGAAGCCATTAATCTTCATCAAGAATCAATTCTCCAGCTGTTGCTTGGTGAGTTTGGTCCAGTTCTATTTCAATTCATTGCTTTGTTTTTGAGATGTTACACAAATACAGAATAAACCTGCAAAACATCCAAGCTCACGGTCAGTTTTGTTCAAACCACAGCTAATGCCAGAGGAGTCCTGAACAAAGATGCCCTGGGCTCTGCTCTCTTTTCAGCTGTTCGAATGAACTTTGATGGTGCGGTGAGTGCACTGATAGACAGTGGAGCAGATGTGAACATGCGCGACGGTCGCAGATATACGCCTCTCCTACTGTCAGCTGAGCTGGGACACTCAGAAGTCTTCAGGTGACCTCTTTCAAAATAAATTCAGTGGCAATAAAGTAGCCCCCGTAGGCCTTCACACTCACACTCAAGAGCATTTCAACAAAATCAATCATATCATTGTGGGAATCACGTAATTATGTAGTTTACTTAAAGAACATACTAGAATAAGAAGAACACTGTCTAACTACCTTTATAAAATCCACCCTGCCTCATAAATGTTTATATTCACAAATATAATTTATGTATATGTTAAAAAAAAATAGCAGTGAGATATTTGTGGCACCAGATGCTGGTCCAAGTCAAATAGCAGAATAAAATCACGACTGTACAGGCGCAATGACACAAATGGGTTTAGAAAAGGCAAAATGCTCATCATTGTCCTTCTATAACAAATATGTATTTTCCATGTTTGTTTTATATATATCATCATTTATGTTGTGTTGTACATATTTGGTGCAGAGCATATGCATCTATTTTAACTGTCCCTTTTCTGTATTTTTTTTAGCAGCTAAGCCAAATATGTAATATCTTACATTTTGGCTTTTTTTATTCTAGTGTTCTCGTAGCAAAAAATGCAAAACTGGATGCTACTTTATCTGACCTCTCTTCAGCATTGCACTTGGCTGCTCGCAGTGGTAGCAAGCCCATAGTGCACACACTGCTAGAAAAAGGACTGGACCCAAACATTAAGGGAGCTAAAGGCCACACCCCTCTCCACCTGGCAGCTCAATGTGATGGGCCTGACATAACTGGTCTGCTGTTAAAAGGTGGAGCACAGGTAATTGTCAAAGCATTAACGGTTGCTATCAGTTCTGTAGATTTTCAGTATATTAATGCAAAGTTGTGTGTCATTGCTATAGGTAAATGTAGTAGGCCAGGATGGTCTGACCCCTCTGCATATAGCCAGCATGCAGGGTCACACAGACACAGTGATCCAACTTCTTCATAACAAGGCAGAACCTGGAGTCAAAGACCGGCTGGGGAGGACAGCCCTGCACTGGGCAGCCTTTTCCCAGGTAGATAGTTGTGTGGTGGACTTGCTGCTGTCAGCCAAAGCTGACCCAGATGCCACTGATAATGAGAAAAAAACTCCCCTCCACCTGGCTGCTATGGAGGGAAAAGTAGACGTGGCGATTTCACTGCTTTCCCACAGGGCAAAGAGGCGAGCTAGAGACATGGATGGCTCCACTCCTCTTCATTACGCAGCAGCTGGTGGGCACGTCAGTGTGGTTACAGCCCTTCTTCAGCCGCTCAACAATAAGGGGACTGAAGACAGGAATGCATGGAGGAAAACACCACTTCATGCTGCAGCTGAGAAGGGACATGATAGTGTAGCTCTGCGGCTCCTGGAAGCTGGGGCCAAGATAAATGCTACAGATCACAATAAAGACACACCTCTGCACTGTGCTGCACGTGGTGGACACCACAAAGTAATGAAAATACTTGTAAACTGGGGACAAGCTGGAAATGTAGGATGGAGGAATAAAGCCAATCTGCAGGCTAAAAATAATATAGGGAAGACACCATTGCAAGTTGCAGAAACTAAACACACACCAGAGCATGAGAACACTGCAATTTTACTCAAGAGGAAGATGTTTCTTATGAAGTAAGCATCATAATTTGTGAACGATGTTGATCCAAGCACTTTGCAACTTGTTCTCTAGTGTGTGTCTTTCTCTTATTTTTGGTTATATTTTTCTCGTTTTGCATATATCGCTCTTGATTCATTGTATTTCTTCCTGTTTGCTATGTATTCTTGCAGTCAACTGTTCATATTTTATTCTTAGGCATGCACCTAAAGGTCGATTATTTTTTGCTCTTCTACTTTCATCCAGATTAAAATGAAACTCAGACTTTTCCTAGCACCTTCTACCGAATACACCTTCGGCTAAGCTGACTGATACCTTTTTGTGGTGAAGCATTAAAAAAAATCTAACCATTGCTTCTTTTTGCCCACCTGTGGTTTTAGAGTTAGTCACTTCAACGACCATACAGGAAAGTATGTTGATAGCATCTAGCCCAGCTTACACCTTTGCAGATCCTCTTTAAAGGTTATGCAAATTGTATGCAAGCCTGGGTTTGCAAGCGTTGGGTCAAACTCCAAGCACAGAAAGACAGCAGTGCTTGGTGACAGCTATTTTGAACCACATCCTTCATAAGAATAGAGCACATGGCAAGCTGAATAACGATTTTATTCCTCCATTTATTTATTTTTATTTCAGTTTGTTGTTGTTTTTTTTGGACAAGTAAAGGTCTAATGTCTGTATATGGAGGTGGCCTACTTGAACAATACTCTATAAAAATATCATTTGACGTAATAGGAAAACCCAAGCTTTTGGCCTCAGAAGCTATGATTGTCCCCTTTAGCAAGAATGAGTTCTGGTACATGGTTCCATCAATTAGGGCAAGTCTTTCAGGTCCTGAAGCAGTAAAGCAGCCTCAGACCATCACATTACTACTGTTAAAGTTTAGTTCAAGCCAGCTTTAATGGGACTCAAACTCAAAAAAAATATTAATTTTATTTTGCAATAGCTTTTTGCAGTAAGAGAAGAAAAGAAAAATTAGTGATGAAAAAGTTGGTACACCCATGCACTTGGGCTAAATGAAATATGAATCAAAGGTCCTCATAAGGTGCCAGTGATTTGGGCCTCCTTAGGAAGAGGCTGGTGAAGCTGCTGAGAGTCTGGGGTAGTGTGATGCCAAGACCTACAGAGCTCTCCGAGGCCTTTAGAAAAGGACTGCAGAATATCTAAGATAATAAAAAAAGATTAACTTAAGTCACAATAGTCTATCTATTGCCTTTCAAATAATTTGTATTGGTTGATGGAGTCAAAGCAAACCAATTTTAGAGAATATTATTTGCAAATGACACAATTTAGCTTTGGTTCTCGTCCCTTGCACAGTTTGTGCATTTTCTAATCTGGTAATGTTTGCTGTTTCTCCATAGATATTTTGTTTAGCTTCTGCTCCCCCCATCCACCCAGGGAAGAGAATAGAGGGTATTCCTCTGTATACCATGTTTAGCTTGGAGCATAAAGTTCCCTGAAGACTGCCGAATTGGTCCACTATAAGTAATGTTGAACTAAACTTAATAGTTGACAGTAATGCAAACCCCTGGAAGTTATTTCTGCTTGGAAATATTAGTTTCTGATGCCAAGATATTTTTGTTATATCAAAATATATAAGCTATGTAGGTATAACTTAAGCATACCTAACTCTTTTTCTACTGACACTAAATTAATCCATCTCTAAATCTAAAAAAAAAAAAAAAAAAAAAGCAGGAAGGAAGTGTTATGATATCTGCAACTTTAGGTTGTTGTTGAAAACAAGTGGTTTGTTGTTGACACAAGAAGTGACACGGGCGTTCTTCACTTCAGTAAAAATACAGATACTTGTGTTAAGAAAAATACTCCAGTCATAGTACTGAAGTACTCATTCAACTTATTTACTCAAATAAAAGTAAAAAAAAAGAAGTAGTTCAGGCTCTGAAATGTACTGAAAGTAAGAAAGTAAAAAGTACCCTTTTGTAGAACTTTGTGCAAAGCTAACTGAACCTCATGCTGTAACATAATAAAATAATATCCATCCATTCGCTTCCGCTTATCCTTTTCACTGGAGCCTATCCCAGCTGTCATGGGGCAAGAGGCAGGGTACACCCTGGACAGGTCACCAGTCTGTCACAGGGCCAACACACAGACACAGACAACCATTCGCACTCACACTCCCGCCTTCATAACTATAGACAATTTGGATTAATCAATTAACCTATCCACACAAACTGCATGTCTTTGGACGGTGGGAGGAAGCCAGAGTACCCGGAGGGAGCCAGAAAAATGATTACAGCCAGGGATGAAGGTGGGGAACAGGTGGGGAGAGAGCAGTTTTAGTGGCTCAGCATGGGGAAGGATCACAACTCACAATCATTTCTAATGCGAGCTCCAGTAGGTTTTTTTGCAGTTATGCTGCTGCTTTTTGTGGATTTGCACAGCTGAATTCAGCTAGATGTAAGCACGTTTCCCATGCTATGTTGCCGGAGCTCCATCCCGAACACTGGCAGCATTCGGTTTATACCGTCTTTACAAGACAGCATACAGCTGGTATAAGGGTTAACTTCAGTGAAGGAATCTAATCATCAGCTTACATTCAAATACATTTCTGCTACTCTTGATGTATCCTAACTCCCACCTTGAACAGCTCAGTGCTATAGATTCACCACAATATGGCAAACTAACCTGTTTACCCTGCACTAAACTGCTGAGAATTTGAATAATCCAAAGGTGATATAGCTTAGTTTGTTTTTAAGGATGTTTCACAATAGAAAAAAAATAACGTCACATCATATACAGATCCAATATTTGATTTAAAAATGAAGACATTACAAAACACACTGAGCAATCCTTGCTTTTATATATAAACTCTCTTCTTCTGCTCCTTCTTGTTTTATCTGTCTTTATCTCTGAATTAAGTTATCTTTCATTCTTTTCTCTTTCTGGGAAATGCAGCAGCTCGACCTTTAGTTAGAAGACACATTATGTGGAAAAACTGCACACAAACAGCTTCTGTATTTGCTGATATTATGGAAATAAATCATCATCCACTTTGGTTGGTTTTCTTCTGTGGTCTTTCAGCCCCTTTAGTGTTGCTGAGCTGGTCAGTGCAGTCATTCATTCATTTTAACAATGCACCAGATTGTTTATTCGTCCACTTCCAGCGCTGTTGCTCTCTCTCTGTTTATTTGGAGTTTTCAGCCTAATGATGGCCACAGCATGGCTTGCATTAACAACTCTTTTGGGTCTCACATTTAAAATGACAATGACATAATTACAGTGAAAATCCATAAAATACAAATTCAACACCTCAACTTCAGATAGTAAGTCGCTACTTATTTGCAATATGTTTCTTGGGAAATATTACTTTTTTAGGGCCAGGTCGTTTTTTGGTTCTTTTGTTATTTCTACCCACCCCTGGACTTTATCATGTGAAAGTAAAGTTTTGCATGTCTTAAATATATTAACATAATTTTGCAATACCATTTTTGCATTAGGAAAAGGAAAGAATAGAAAAATTTGTCATGGAAAAAATTACACATGCACTTAAGTTGAATAAAATAAAAATCAAGGGTCCTTATAAAGTGACAGTGATTTGGGCCTCCTTGGGAAGAGGAGAGCCTGTGAAAATGAGAAACTGTGTATAAATATGGCTGCAATTCTAAAATAGTTAATGCATTTTTCCCTTGAATTGCAGCAGAAAGTCTGCACTTCAATCACAATATGGTTGTTTACATATATTTGACCTATAATCCATGTGGTGGTGGTGTACAGAGGCAAAACTGCAAAAAAACAACAAAAAAAACTAATTTTGTCCCAAACATTACAGTAGTCACTGTATATTGGTCATTTTTCACAAAATCAGTTATCATGCTGAGTTATCTTGTCAGGCTTTATGAAAAAGTATGTAAACGACACATTAAAAAAGTTGAGCATTTTAGTTTTGAGGATGTAATGTGTTACCTCGATTGGGACGGCTTCACCCTTCAGTGTAAGTATTTTTGTTTAGTTAGTGGTTAGTGGTTATTTTTCACATAAATATTGAAATGAGATGGCACAATGTTGCCTTATTTAGCCTCCTAAGACCCAAATTATTTCATGGCATGCATTTTTAATTTCTCTTTGCTGTTGTGACTTTATAGTGTTCGAACACTATAAAGTCACAATTGAGTAATCATGTGCAAAACTCCTTATTTGGTGTTTGAACACAGCAGCATTTTTCCTGAGTGCAAAAACAAAAGGAAAAACAACAATTGTGCCCCTTTGAGCAATATGGCTCATTTAAAAGCCATTTGAAAGAGCAAAATTTAGTATTGTCGTCTAGACAACCCAAAATGTGATGTCCCTATATATGGACGCCAGGTCCTAGGAGGTTAAGGCAGGGTTAGGGTTAGGATGGAATTACCGTATGTTATAGGGTTTCTAGATTTATGTGGTATTTGTGTAACCATCAGCCCCCTTTTTGTGTCTGGTAGGCTAGCCAATGTTGCCTTGTGCACTAACTGGTAAGCAAGTCAGCTATGTTATATTAACCTTGGTAGGGTAGGGTTTTCATTTAGTTGACCTCATTTTGAGTTTTCTCCTATTTAGCATTTACTTTTATCTACTTTCTCTATACAGATTTGGATTTTAGTGATACAGTTAAAAATTTTTCATTTAATTAAAGTTACAAAAAGTACTTTTTATACCTTTGTCCTTGTCTTTATGTCTTATTGCTTGGTTCCTGGCACTTGTGTTGCCAGTTGCTGTTATTGTGTTGGACTAGGTTAAGCAACTCATCCAACACATTGGACTTGTTAATCTTGGCAAACATCATTGGATGGAATAGTGAGGATCGGTAGGAATTTAACTTAGTACATGTACTTGAGTATCTTACTGAAGTAAAGGTTTAATTTACTTAAGTGTTTCTATGTTACTCTACTTTCTGCCTCCTTAGATTCTTTTAGCTGCTCCCCCTTAAGGGATCACAACAACAGATAGCTCGTATATTTGATTTGACAAATGTATTCTTGGCACAAACCCAAAAAGATCTGTAATAGAGTTACTTTCTGTATTTTGCTGAT